TTTTATCAAAGGTTAAAATACTAGGTTAAAATACTAATTCATAAATTAATAATGAACTGTGTAAATGAATAATTATTTTAATCGTAGGAGCTAAAGAAAGCGCCCGAAAAAAAGACCGGGAAGAAAATCGAAAAGAAAACAAAACTGAAGAAGGAACCTAAAGATGCATCCAAGAATATAATGCGTGAAGTCCGAATCCGGAAGTTATGCCTAAATATTTGCGTAGGTGAATCTGGTGATCGCTTGACACGTGCTGCCAAGGTAGATTTTACAAGCATATTTTTATTTTAAAACGAATCTTTCTAACAGTTGACTTTTCAACTTAAAGTTATTTTTCATATAGGTCTTGGAACAACTGACTGGTCAGCAGCCAGTATTTTCTAAAGCTCGATATACAGTACGTTCATTCGGTATTCGTCGTAATGAGAAAATAGCTGTTCATTGTACTGTTCGCGGCGCTAAAGCTGAAGAGATTTTGGAACGTGGCTTGAAGGTAAAAATTCAGATCTTAATAAAATATAATTTATATATAATTATATATATTTGCATCAACTATGATTCTAATGTATTATTTGATTATAGGTACGTGAATACGAATTGAAAAAAGAAAACTTTTCTTGTACTGGAAACTTTGGTTTTGGTATTCAAGAACATATCGACTTGGGAATCAAATATGATCCTAGTATCGGTATTTATGGATTAGATTTCTACGTTGTATTGGGACGTCCAGGTTAGTAATGATTCAATCAATCAAATTTCATTATATTATTATATTGAATGTATAAGATATTGCACAATTAGCATCATAGATATCCTTGTTTTATAGTGGTGTCTATATATTTGAAATGTGCTAGAAAAAATGTTTCATATTTGCAACTCATGCCCACTTTATTTTACTGGGTGTGTTACTTGATTGAGCCTACATTTTAATTAAACACATTTACATATATATTTTATATAAATATTTATATATGTAATAACATAAATATAATAAAAAAATAATGAAAATATAGAATGAAGGACAAATGTGCAACTATAAATTATAAAATATAAATTTAATTTACAGGATTCAATGTAGCTCACAGGAGAAGGAAAACTGGTAAGGTTGGTTTCCAACACAGACTTACCAAAGAAGACGCAATCAAGTGGTTTCAACAAAAATACGATGGTATAATTATAACTGGAAGAAAATAATACATCATATGTATTTTGTATTATACAATTTAGTAAATAATCTTAAAAAAATTGTTTATATTCTTTAATAATATATTTAAACCTTACATAACATCTTCACATTGCTCAATCAAATAATTACTTACGAAATTGTGATGTTTAGGAATAAGGAAAGATTTAATATAAAGGTTTAAGATTTTTATTTCTTCTCATATTGCAATAATACAATCAAAACAGTGACGATCGTGAGAATAAAGTAAGGAGACGTAATGTCCTCACTATTAAGTGTAAAAATAAGGAATACGTAAAACAGACAAAATTTATTATATGTAATTATGAAATTTACGATAAATATTGCATAAGAAACACGATCACGTCCATAATCTATTTAAAGTTCAGTTTTACAAATCGGAGAGAGCCATAATCCATTTCGGTGAACACTGACAGAATGATTATGGAGTGTCAAATGCGCTTATTTTTAGCATTATTTGTTATTATTTTCGATGGAACATGACATTCGAGTTTTATTAATTATGATCGAGCTTAATTAGGCCCAACGAATTATAATATTCACATAAAGGAACTTTATTATAAAATGAATATTATCTACATTCTCAGAATTGGAGAAATGTGTTATTGCACTTATATATTATATATATATATACATATATATTTTTTCTTTTCTTACATTGGACGTTTTGATATAGTAGATATTACTGTCAATACATTTCTGTTTCTTGATTTATAAAACATTGATTAGGAGAATGCTGCTTAAAAAAGCGATCTGTATGTGCTATGAACATTCGTACTTATTGGCACCTTAGACATACACTTTTCAGACTACTTTCATTCAGAATTACAAAAATCTTAGTGCTAAAGAAATTATTGTTTCCATTTATATTGATTTTATATCATAATATAATGCTAATTTCATAACATGCATTTCATAACATAAGGATTTAAAAAGACAAAAGGATCACTTACATCTAATTTTACGATATTTTTATCGCAACTTCAGAACTTCAATAACAGAAGGTAACTTTACTCCGGTGGTTGGTGCCAAGTATTAAACTTATAAATTAAGTATTAAAAATATAAATAAACCAACATTTGTTCGCAATAATTAACTCACTACTCTTTGGTTTTAAATACACAAATTTAAATATACAAAAACATCCCATAAAAATGAATAATTATAATTATGATAAGACATAGGAAGTATGCTTATCGACGTCCACTAATAATTAGTTGCACTTATATAACTTTCCACGACCTACTTAACTTGAAGTTACGAGCAGATAAAAAGGCAAGATATATCCTTCAGTCTCCATAGTATTACCTTACCTGGACGTCATGTTAGATACTTTGATATAGATATATATATGTATATATGTATATATATATATATATAGTATATAATATATATATATATATATATATATATATATATATACAGGATGATTCAGAATTATGTATATGAAGCAAATTTCTACTGATCATTTGCCTTCAAAATCACTTTTTTGTACATACTTTGAAAATTTGAAAGATGGACACATCTCTGATAATTCTTATTCTGATATATGCATGTATATGTGTATATAGATATATATTTCATTTATAACAGGTAAATATATAAATAAATTTATTTATCTATTCGAGGATTCCCATGTGATAACGAGAAAGATATATGCAACTTTTTACATTCATATAAGGATGGGTATGCATTTCAAATAATCACATAAAGATAAATTTTCGACTTGAAACATTTAGCAGCTTGTTATGTATATCATATTTTTTGCTCAATTTTGAAATATATTTATTATGATGCAATGCATGCATAATAATTGTTAAAAGAGTGAAATATCATTTTCAATAACTAGATATAATTTTTTCAAATATTACTAAGATATTTACCTACTAATTTAGAGCACACAAGTCATGAGACGCGCGTGATATTAATTTGTAATACATGACCATCGCAGAGCACTGATGTTACATACAGTTATAAATAAATTCAGTCTATTCAAGCTGTATGTATATAATTTGTTAAATTTAAATATAAAAGTAAAATCTCCTAAAATTGCCAGCTATTTATACACCATATATATATTTTTATAGATTAACTAGCAATTTTTGTAAGAGCAAATTGCTTTTATGATATATATTTCAAATATATATCTATCAATAAATTAAAACAAACTTTTCAAACACATTTAAATGTTTACTTTTAAAACACCAAAAAAAATTAAAGTTTCGAAAAATTCAGGTGTTAAATCTGATAATGTATAACACCAGTCGTCAATAATGATATAACTTTCTATATTAAAAATTTTTTAAAAATATTATTTTCTCGCCGATCGATAATATCTATCAATATTGTGTCTTTCCGCGTCCGTGAAACCCAAGATACTTTCAATAGCATTTAAGTGACCGTGATGATTCTCTTTATCAGTTAAAAAATAGTAGATTGCTGACTTGAGGAACTGAAGAGTAATTTCCGGATCGAGAGTACCCTGATTGCTTCTCGCCTCTACAATACGCCTATACATTGCCTAATTGAAACAAAACGACATACTCATTAAAAAATTAAGTTAAAATATTATATATATATATA